AAAACAAACAAACAAGTACATGTGCAAATGTATTACATAATCCACACAGCACTGGAAAACAAAGAAGGGATGGCTTATGCAAGGCATAGCATGAGAATACTTTGGAAAAGATAGAAGCAACCAGCTGGGGCCTTTTCTAATAATTAACAATTCCAAATGCTTCTAGGAGTTAAATATTTAAAAACAGACTAGGAGAAATCATCTTTCTGCATATTTATATGGAACACTGAGAGCTTCCTAACTTGGAAGCTGGGCTATAGGAAAAACAGTTCACTCAGTGGGCAAGTCCTAGAGGCAAAGCAAGAGGCTCATGGGACAGTTACTTTATAACATGCCTTTAAAGTGTGCAACATAAAGACAAATGATTAACAACATAAAAAAATGATGAACACAAGACAGGAAAACAAAGTAGTTAAGGCTATTCAATTTCACCAATGATTCAATGATTAAGGAAAGGTGAGAGAGTGGGGGGGGGTTCTAACCTAGCATAATGGCAGGATTTCCAGTTTATTAACATACAGTATTTATTAACTGGAACTGCACTGAAATTTACATTAGAGAGATATGCCACTCTTAACATTACCATGTATTTCCCCCAATACAACCTCACTTGTTTTTACTGTATAAAAGACTTTTTTTAAAAAAGTACTGAAGCCAACATAGCACAATGTCATTGTACTTTTTAAAATAGTTAATGTGTGTGTGCGCACACACACACACACACTCACATAGTCCATTCCCTATGTTCTCCCCTCAGAGATTTTTAAATCACATTTCCTTAATCTTGGCGCTAGTGATGCTGTTGTGCGGTTGTCTAGTAATTTGTAAGACCTTTAGAAGTGTCCCCTCCTCTGTTTAGTAGATGGCAGGAGCATTTCTAGTAGTGGTGACAACCAAAAACCTATCTAGACAAGAACCAACATTCTCTTGGAGGAGTAACTCAGCTTCAGTCAAGAACCATTCCACTAGGAAGAGGCAAGGGCTGAGTGAGGACCTAGGTTCAATCCACCACAACCCATATAAAAGAGCAAGGTGCAAAGCCAGGTGTTGGTGTGGCATGCCTTTAATCCCAGCACTAGGGAGGCAAAGGCAGGTGGATCTCTGTGAGTTTGAGGACAGCCTGGTCTACAGAGCTAGTTCCTGGACAGGCTCCAAAGCAATATAGAGAAGCCCTGTCTTGAAAAAACATAAACAAAACAAAAACAAAACAAAACAAACAAAAAAAAACAACAAAATATGGTGGAGAGAAACTGAGGAAGACCTGATGGGAGATGTCATTTTGTAAATATTTTTTTTTTTATTGGTTAATGAATTAAAGCCCTGTTGGCCAATAGGAAAGCAACATAGGCAGGACTAGGAGTCAAGGAGGATTCTGGGAGATGTAGTAGGAGATTCAAGATGTAGAGATTAGAGCGAGAAGAGATCTGGACCCTCTCTCTGGTAATATAAGACCACGTGCAAATACTTAGATTAATAGAAATGGGTTAATATTTAAAACAGCTAGCCAATAAGAAATGCTAGTACTGGCCAACAGCATTATATCTAATACAGTGTCTCTGTTCTTTGGGGCTGACACGGCTGTGGGACCAGGCTGGTGGGAAAACTGCTCACAACAAAAACCCCTGAAGTTAACCCACAGTGGCACAGCCACGAAACACACACACCCCTGCACTAACCTGTTGCAGCACAGTTTCTCATACATACATAAAACACCTCAGAAAGGATATATAGAGACTAATTGCAATATTGATTATCTTTAAGGAAGAGGGTTACTAAGGTAACCAGAGAAGGGGAGACGCTTACTCTTTATAATCACTGTCTAGTACTTCCTCTAGTTAGCTTCTCTGCTCTTCCATCCTGATCTCAACTTCGTCTTTCAATTACGGCAACAGCCTTTCAGCCGGTACTTGTCTTCCTCTCTCTTCTTTCTTTACACTCTTTTGGTTAGCATGCCAGAGTGGTCCTACCATCTGAAATCAGATCCTGTCACCCATTTCCTCAAAAGCCTCTATTGCCTGCCTAACGTCATTTTCAAAAGCCCAAACCTTAAAGTGACCTTTACACAACACTGCCTCACACTGTTTTCCCCAAGGTTTTGCTTTGGACTCCTTGCTTTGTTCACTAAACACGCAGGGTCTTCCTGCTTGCAGTACTTGCTGCAAACGGTCCTCTCTCAGACATTCCTGCCTTTCACTCTCTAGCTACTTGAGCTCTTGACTTCACAGAGGTCTTCCGCAGGCACACCTTAGCATTCAGTGTCTTGGCATCTGATCAGTTAGCCTGTCTGGAAGACGAGTTACAAGTTTCCAAATCAAGAGATCTTCAATGACTTTGAAAATTCACATTTCTAACAAGTAACCTATGAACTTGATGATCCTAGGGAGCCCATTTTTATAACTAATGTTGCAGAGCCATGGAACCTAAGTCAGAAAAGCTATGAGAAACACATTAGATTCTCTAGAAACTCTACAGCACAGCCTGGAAAGCTCTTACATGTACTCCTTTATTTTGATAGCCTCAGAAAACTAACACAGCAAACAAGAATGCCAATGACTACATGGAGCTGAATATAATTTCAATTCTATAGTTAAAATGTGTTGCAGCATTCAGCTTTAATTATAGAATAATCAGGTTTCCAAATTCACAATATCCCAATATTGCCTTCCTAGGCCCTCAATACACTTCATACTGCAGGTGCAAGGTAATTTGTTTCAGTTTCTTGTTTTCTCCCACCGTTTAATGTGATTCCCTGATTCATAAAGAACAGCTCCCTTTTTTTTTCACACATAACAGATACTGGCATGTTCCTGAGTATCCCACCCTTGCGGATCCCCACCCCAAGGAGGTGGGCATTAAAATTAGGTGCAAAAACTTTAGTATAAAGCCAGGCATTGGTGGCACACGCTGTTAATCCCAGCACGCAGGAGGCAGAGGCAGGTAGGTCTCTGTGAGTTCAAGGCCAGCCTGGTCTACAGAGCTAGTTCCAGGACAGGTTCCAAAACAATACAGAGACACCCTGTCTCGAAAAACCAAAAGCAAAACAAAAAAAGGTAAGTATACTTTGACATTTGTTTCTTACCAGATTCATAGATAAAATGTTAACTTCACATCTTATGGAACAAAGTCCCCCCCCACTTCATTTAAAAGAATAAAAGCAAAGTACAAAGAAATATGTATATCGATCTTATCTTGCATGTTAATTTAAATTTTTAATTTTTTAAAAAACCTTAATCCCACCAGATTTGGTATTAAAAATGTTTCTTTTAACCTTGATAAGATTTTCAGCTATCTGTTTTACTAAAATCTCATAAAAAAATATCTTTTAAAAACACTGTACTGAAAAACCACAACTTTTGAGTGTAAAATCTAAATAGGTAATAACTTCTATTTGCATTTTATTTATAAATACACTGTCACAAGAAAATTCCAACTAATAATTTCACCACAAAAGACTCAAATTTATATTACCATGCATTATAAAGTAAAGCCGCACATAACACAATTTTCATCTCAGCAACATCACCATACAAGCAGTACACAGCCAACATATGCACAGTGGGGAACTTCGGCACACAATGAGCCAGACATTAATTCATTATACATACTCTTAAATAAACTGCTTACAAAATTCCACAATTTCCTTAATATTAAATTTATTCACAACTATAGGCTAGGATGATTTTTTCAAAAACATAACTGGATTAAAAAAAAAGTTTAAGTGGACAGTAACCACATAGTATTTGTAAAATGCTGAGTCCTCAGTAAAAAGATACAAGAAAACATAAATTTCAAGTAAATCGGAGACACTGAATAGTTTTCCACTAGTCCTGAATTTTAAGTGAGTCATACTTGCCTTCCTAAATCACTGTTTTACTTAACATATGGTGAAAAAGAGTTAACTGTTTGGTAACTTGAAACTTTATATTCATTTAAACTGTACAAAAATATATAGTAAGGCTGGCAGAAAATAAAACTGATGGCATACAATGCTGAGAATACACAATATCATGTGCATAAGGCTCAGCTGACATTTCTCTACTAAGAGACTGGAAAACTGTCATACCTTCTAAAAACTCAGAGTTCCACTTCCAAACTTACACCAGAACCAAACAACTTGTATGTGCACAGCACTTTTTCTTGGCATTCAGGCAGAGCTATCTATGGTCTATGCTCAATTTCCAGGAAATTACCATATCTCTGTCCTTTACGCGTTGCCTAACTACTCAGTCTGATGCATAAAAGTTCTAACTTTGTAACTTTCTAATTCAGAATACGTTTTTTGGTCGTTATGTACTAAAAGGCAACATGGTGGTATCTACAATGAATGAAAAAGGCTAGACTAGAAAATAATTTTTTTCCAGAATGTAAAGAACCTTAAAAGAATATTCCCGCCGCTGGTTTTTAAACACTGAAAGGGAGATACAATTTTTAAAAGAAAAGAAAAAAAAAGAAGAAAGAAAGAAACCATTCTCACTCCTGAATCAGTCAACCTAGGAGAGCATCCACATTCAAAGCAGTTTAACTGGCCAGCATCTAGAAATCCCATCACACTTTTTCCCCCCCAAGAGAGGAGGAGAAAAAAAAAAAAAAATTAAATCCTCGTGCGCGCAGCAAGCCCCGAACACACCTGGCTAGTTTACAGTCAGCCAAGGGAAACTTCCAGCCAGAAGAAACCGGCGGCAGACAAAGCTGACGGTCCAGCCGGCGGCAGGCAGCCAGGCACCCGGGACCGGGGCGGCCGGAAGGTGCTCGCACCTGAGTGCAGGGCTGCCGGCCGCTGAGCGCGCGGAGGCCGGGGCGGGGCGGCGGGCAGGACCGCTAGGCGCTGGCCCGCCCCGGGCGCCTCCCGCCCGCCCCGCGGGGCAGAGGCGAGCGCAAGGGCGGCCGCTCGCCCGCCGCCCCAGACACCTGTTTGGCGGCGCTGCCGTCCCCGCAGTCGCCCCGCCGCGGGCAGCCGAGCCCCGGGACCCGCAGCTCTCGGGCGCCTCCGCCCGCCGTACCTGACATCGGCCGCGGCTCCCTCTCGCCCCTCCCGGAGGCGGGGAGGAGGACGACCCACGACCCTCGACCTTCGCTGCCCTGGCCGGCCGCAGCACGGGCAGGGGCCGCTAGCCAGGGCCGCCCGCGGCCGCCCAGATCATCCCCCGGCGGCGGCGGCCGAGGCGGGCCCGGCGCGCGCTCCCGCCGCTCGCTCCCGCCGTTCGCTCCGCCCCTCCTCGCCGCGCGGCCTGGCCGCGGCCCGCCGACGGCGCAGTCACCACCCAGGGCTCGGCGGAGAGCTGACGTCGCGACCGCCGCGCGAGCCCCGGGGAAGGGCGGGGCCCCCGGGCGGCGTGGGCGGGGACACGGCGACGTGCGGACGCGGCGATTGGCCGTTCGGCGTCCGCCCCGCCCTCCTGCGGAGGGGGCTGGGAAGTCCCGGCTTCCTAGAGGCGAGGGGTTGGACTGAGCCCCCTTGCAGTGGGGTTGGGTGAAGGGTCTGGCTCAAGATCATGCTCTCAGGGACAGCGCCATCAGCAGGGACTGCGAGGAGAGGGGGCCTTGTGAACTGTCACCTGCGGAAGAAACCCTGACGCCTTGCTGACCTCTAACTCACTCAGCCCCCTTCACACTTTTCTTCCTCTTGTCCTCTCACGGTATCTCTCTGTCCTTAAGAAATGGGGCGTAATAAAGTATGCAGTAGAGGACTATGTGAGCAGATGTGTGTCCCAGAAGGGCAGAGACCCCAGGTAGTGCTAACGGAAAGCCGCTTGACGGAACGCACGTGTGGCGCTTTACATCTGCCTTGCAATGGTCAAGTACTTAGCAGCTTTGCAAAAAAAAAAAAAAAAAAAAAAAAAAAAAAACCCTCTGCCCTTCGAAGATGCTGTGAACCAGGAAGCTATCTTTGCTACAGAGGAAGTGGGCTGCCACCTGTTGAGGCAGCAGGGAGTGGGAAGTAAGATCTACAGACTTTGCTGGCCTTAACCAGTTTCGACAAGGTCAGGGTCCGGGATGGAAAGGCTGTGTGTGTGTGTGTGTGTGTGTGTGTGTGTGTGTGTGTCTGTGTCTGTGTAAGGCTGTGTGTGTGTGTGTGTGTGTGTGTGTCCGGGATGGAAAGGCTGTGTTTGTGTGTGTGTGTTCTGCTTGATAAATGCTCAATTTAGGCGGTTGTGAGCATACCACAACATAGCTAACGAAAGTGAGGATTTTGAAATATGACACTAAACTTTATCCGAGTTCATTTTCTGCCTCTAATACTAATGATGCTAAGTTATAGAGGACAGGCATATTTTGGCTGATTGTAGACAAAGATCAAGGAGCTTCATGCGGTGACATGTTTGTTTGTCAAGCCCTGAGCTGAAACAGCAGGATATCGTGGCAGGACACAGAAAGCTTAAAAGAGACCTAGCCAAAGAAGATAACCCATTTATTCATTGACCCGTTAGTCACATGAGTGGACTGAGCCATTCCTAAGGGCAGAGTCCTAATCGGCACATTTACTTAGCCTCCACTTTCCACTATTTAATAATGGGATTAAATTTAAACTTGAGTCTTGGAAAGGACAAGCCACATTCAAACCATTGCAGGCTGAGATCTAGCTAATGGCCCATTCATTGTGTAATTTTAAAAAGTTACTGAACAGCATGTTTGAAAAGAATAATAAACAGGGTGTGTTGGCTGTTGCTCTTAATTTGCCGTTAATTTACTTGGGTTTGGCTTTAGTGCCATTTGCTAGGATGCAGACAGTAACAATAGTGTGCCCCCTATCCCCCCGCATCCCCACAAATCTCCCAAAGTAGGTTTAAAACTTGAAGCAAAGTTGGTGATTTTAATCCAAAGGCCTCTTTTTCATATGAGAAAAATAAGGACAAAGTAATAAACTGATGGGCCCAGGCCAGAAGAGAAGGGTGAGGTGGGCGTTTTTATACCCAGGTATGTGCCCTTTCTCTGGTCTAGGACCCTCCAACTTCTCTCCCACACATGCTTAGCTCTATCCCTTTCTTTCTTAACTCCTTCTTAGCCTTAACATTCCCTTAGCACAGTTTTCCACAAGGTCATTTTACCAGTCATAAATGGAAAGGAGAATCACCTGGAAGTCAAAATGTTCTAAATATAAAACAAACCTAAGGATTCTACGTGTCCCTAATTCTATTGAAAATGACTACATTTGAAAATATACTTTATATTTGGCGCTCAAAACTGACTGGACTCCCTCATTTAAAAACAGATAAATCCCAGCCACTATTGTTGTCTGTCTGGTATTTAATGTCTCAGAAAAATATATCAAAGCTCTTGGGAGCAGACTCTTAAGTCAAAGCTCCTTGGGATAAGACCGATATTGTCTAAACAATATCCTTTTTAACCTTTCTCGCAGAGGCATGATAGTTTGCAGGGTGCCAATGTATACAGCTGAATTTGTTTACTTCCTCAGACACTTAATAAGTTATGGCTGGCCATGTGTTTATTAGTGAAAGCCAGTGTCTCTAGAGCATCCGAAAAGTTTTTTGGAAGCAATGTCCTTTCAACAATCTGACCTACATTTTCTCACAACAGGGATGTTGTGATGGTAATTTTGATGATTAACTTGATTGGATTAAGGAACACCTAGGAGATTGCTGAAGCATACTCCCGGGGGCATATTTGAAGTAATTTCCTCAGGCAATTATATCCTGGCATTTCTGATTCCTTGATGGATTCATAATATTAGGGCATCATGGTGAGGAACTGAAAAGTAGTCAACAGGACCTTTGGAGGAAATAGGTCACTGGGGTGTCTTTGGAGGATGTGTCTCTCCCTGACCCTTCCCTCTGCTCTTTGCTTTTCATAGTCCAAAAGTGAAGAGAGTTCACTAACATACACTCCTGCTGTAAAGCACATGGGCCAAGCAGCTACAGACCGAACTCTCTAGAGTCTTAAAACAAAGTGGTATTTCCTCCCTCACATTATTTATGTCATGTATTATGTCACGGCGACAAAAAAGTAAGCCACCCATCTTCCCACTATAATTAATAAAAGTTACAAGCACTATGTTGAATGTGGGAAATGAAGGAAGAAACTGGGTTCATGCTTACTTTGGAGAGCCACCTTTTCAGGTCTGGCCTGCATCCTTGTGGACTGTTGTTACACAAAGAAAAACAAGTCTCTCCTATTATAGTTTTAAATTGGGTTTGTGTTATAGACATTGAATACAATTCCTAATTGACCTAATAAGATAGGTCATCATTCATTCATTACTATATAGAAACTTTAGCACAGAATTGTAAGATGAAAATTAACACATGCAATGCAGACAAACAACAGTAAGACATTCCCTTCTCTACAGCTTTACTTTTATTTTATCCCTGTATTAAATACTCTAACCTGGCCTGGTATGGGGGCACACACTTCATCCCAGCACTCAGGAGGCAAAAGCAGATGGACCTCTGTGAATTTGAGCCCAGCCTGGTCTACATAATAAGACCTTCTTTAAAAGCTAAAAAACAAATAAATAGATTAACATATGATTTCATAAATATGTAAGTTAACATTTTAAGTTACTTACATCCACTCAAATGGAAATTGTAAAATACACCCACAAATTCTATAATGCTTCTTCACAGACACACTTGGTGGCTGTTGTGACTACTCAGAGGAGTTTATATCAGATATTCTAGCTTTCTTGAATCACTTGCTGGGGAAAGAAACTGTCACATCATAGTTACAAAACTTCTGTGGCAACTTTACTCAATAAGTAATTAAGGCTTCCAGTCAACAACCATGCAGATAATCTCAAAAGCAGATCTGGCAGCCCCAGTTAATCCTCAGATGACTGGGCACATTCCTAACCAACATCTTAACTGTAGCCATCAGAGGGATTTTGAGCAAGAATCACTCAACTAATTCCTGCCCCACAGAAAATAGAAAAATCTGTGTTTGGATCAGTGTCTTATACAACAATAGGCACATAAGATCTGGGTATAGTAGAGTCTAGTATAATCCTGGCATGTAAGGAAGTATTTGCTCATTTGTTGTTTGAATGACTAAAGCTTTGGATGATGTAGATAGAGTATAGCTACCATACTGTAATGGGTCACATACAATGCTGATATTATCTTTGATCCCTGACATCTACATTATATAAAGTTTTAAAAATAAACTCGAGTTTCTGTGACTTTGTTCCTTCTCTAAGCACCGAGGCTCTGGTCACCGGCTTCACGCCAGTTCCCTCATGCCATGGTCCCAAAATGGCAATCTGCACTCCTGCCTCAGTCCAAGAAACCCAAATCAGTTCCTGCCTCGAAGCTGGAAGACAAGTCTGCCTCCCCTGGACTGCCGAAGGAAGGAAAAGAACAGCAAGAAGCAACTGAACACATTAACGTAGTACAAAATGAAATAGACAGACTTAACGAACAAGCCAATGAGGAAATTTCAAAAGTAAAACAAAAATATAACTCCGCCAGCCATTTTTTTTTTTTTCAGAAGAGGTCAGAATTGATCACCAAAATCCCAAATTTTGGGGTAACAACATTTGTCAACCATCCACAAGTGTCTGCACTGCTTGGGGAGGAAGACGAAGAGGCTCTGCATTACTTGACCAGAGTTGAAGTGACAGAATTTGAAGACATTAAATCAGGTTACAGATTTTTATTTTGATGAAAATCCTTACTTCGAAAATAAAGTTCTCTCCAAAGAATTTCATCTGAATGAGGGTGGTGACCCATCACCAAGTCCACTGAAATCAAATGGAAATCTGGAAAGGATTTGACAAAACGCTCAAGTCAAACAAAGAATAGGGCAAGCAGGAAGAGGCAGCACCAGGAGCCAGAGCTTCTTCACCCAGTTTACTGACCATTCTGATGCAGGTGCAGATGAGTTAGGAGAGGTCATCAAAGACGACATTTGGCCAAACCTCTTGCAGTACTATTTGGTTCCTGAATGGATGATGAAGAAGGAGAGAAAGAAAAAGATGATGATGATGAAGAGAAGGAAGTCTTGGAAGATACTGATGAAGAAGGGGATGAAGATGAAGGTGAAGAAGATGAAGATAATGATGAAGGTGGGGAAGGAGAGGAGGATGAAGGAAAGGATGACTAGCACAGAAGACTCATGGATTGCAGCATTCGTTTTAAAAATTTTCTTTTATTTTTAATTTTCTCCAGTCCCAGAAAGAAGTTGCAGCCATTTCTCTCCTCTGCCTAATCTCTCTTGTGCTCAGTTGCCCTGTTTTTGAGGTCTTTTCTCAATACCATGGTTCTCGACTTATTTGGGGTGAAATGCCTTGAGCAAAATACAACAAGAAAAGAATCTCCTCC